TACACAGTATTTTTTACTTTCTAAAAATCTTTCACATGATTTTTCAAAATACCTCTAATTTTAAGGGTATTTTTGTAAGTACCCCATAATAAATTTGAATTATACTAGTGGTCCATTATGGACACACTGATGTTAGTGGTGATGTACCACTAGCATCTCTCAATAAATTTTGGCCAGAGGAGTCGCTGTTTCAAGTTGTACATAAATATTATACAAGATTACGTAACGTACACGTGGCAATTTTCACCGACCACTTGGCAATTGTATAATGCCACTTGTAGATGTAACATATAGCAAACATTTGTTTCACTGTGATTACAATTTCAGTTCATGTGGCGTTAATGTGATATTACATAATAGGTGTGTTGACACACAAAATGTATAGCCCAATTCAAATGGCCCAGAGAGGAAACGGCCCAAGAGAGGAAATGACCCAAGATCAGGATAAAGGCTCAATCAAGAATGACGTTAAGAATGATGAAGGCCCACAAACGAAGGGATATCGTCGCCCAAGCCTGCACGAACGCCCAGAGGTTGAGCGAATGAAGTACATTATGGTCGCCCACATGGAAGAACCAATTGTCGCCCAAACAGCCGAGTCGCCCAGAGTCCTAGTGATAATTAAATCATGTTACCACGATTTAAAGCGGTTTGAGCATGCCACGACTACAACCCACGATTTGAGAAGATTAGTGGCAAGCAATTATGAAGAAAACNGAGAAGATTAGTGGCAAGCAATTATGAAGAAAACGTGATGGCAGGAGTTACGAATGGTAGTTATTAACCACTCGGCCATTATGAAGGAAATAGATGGTTATAGGTAGTTTCCAAACGGTTAAGAAATGGCTCAAAGAGTATAAAAGAAAGAAGAAGGCAATGAAGAAAGCCCCGACAAAATTCACTCTCAAACAGAGAATATGTAATTTTCTTTTTCTTAGACTAGCTTTAATTAATTCACTTCTTTGTACTCGTGTGCTTGCGCCCCTTGGAGGCATCTTGTTCATATCCAAATTGTAATCTTCAAGTTCGATAAACACCCCTTTTTGGGACTTTGTTCCAAGAGGTTTGTTCCTTACATAATCGTCTGACTCTCTTTTAATTGTTAGCGACAAATCACACGAAACAATTTGGCACGCCCAGTGGGACAACTGGTGTTCGAAGATACAAAAGGAAAACACTATGCCTCATAAAAATTCTGATAAGGCACCAGCAAGTTACGGAGTAGTCCATTCTGTGATCGAGCGATATGAGGAGCAGCAACAGTCTCCTCAAACGGAAGGACAGAGTCCAGGCAGTCACGGCCGTTATGAGCCAATGACAGCTGAGTCCTCGAACCATGCATGCATTGCTTGGAGAACTCACACAGGACGTCGTCGAATAGGTAAATTTACGAAACGTCCATAATATGGAAAAATTTACCCAAAATAGAAATATTCATTATGACAACATGGCCAAACAACTAAGTACTTTGAATAATATTATGAACAAATTAGTAGGCCAAGTATGTCAACCAGCAATACCCCTAGGAAATCATTTCCAAACCAGGACGATTATGGGACATACCCCACCACACAATTCTCTTGGTTTGAACCCAGTCAAGGTTTAGAGTCATTTTTCGGCCCTTCTACCTCAAATCAGGGGGTTAATGGGGCGTAAAATTTGAATGGAGATAATGTGACTACCAACTTGGGGGTAATCCAAACATAAGAGATAATGTCCCGAACGGTGGACATAACTTACCTCGTGTTAATGAGGGAGGGAATGCTCAATATAATGGGTACAATGGTCTGAAAAATGGCACTTTTCCTGCCAATCAAGGGCCAAACGTTAGGCCACCTCAAGTAAACCAACCTATAGGAGTCCCATATGATCCAAATGTTTTGTTGAGGAATCAAATCATGGAAATAGTACA